ATATTTACTCCTAGTCAATTTATTAAGATAATTATTCAGCTTTGTTCTGCCTTTTGAGCATTTTATTTAATTAGAATTATATTCTGAGTCATCTTTTCCACTATTTACGACTTTTCTCGACAATTACATTTATTTCCATGGGTTAAGATACTACCAATTTACAATGATTTCCTAACTTGCAGTTTATGCCCTGACTTCCCTTCTGTGATTCTTATTTTATATTTAACCACTGGCTTTAATATCTGCCCTTGCATCTCAACATGCCCTAAACAGAAGTCATTATTTTCCCACTTTTCCTCCACTTCCCAAATTTGATCCACTGTATTTCTTGTCAATTAATTGCATCATTAGTCAGTTAAGCACATGAGAAAGAAATGTATAAGCCTCTTCCATTTTATAATAGTCTCATAGGATCTTGCTTTCTTCTTTGTAAGGCTTATCTTCTCTTCTAAGCTTACCTTCTTGAAAGCATAATATACTTCTGTTTTTACTTCCTCACTTTCCATTTACTCTTTTATGTTAATTGAACTTGTAGCTCCATTAATGCACCAAAACTGCTGCCACCACAGTCATCAAAACCTTCACTGTGGAAAGAGGCATTCATGTTTGAAGGAAACTACAAGAGTGTCACAATGAATACAAGGCAACACCTGGAATGAGAAGTTATTAATACGATTTCTAAATTGTGGACTCTATAGGTCAAGAGACATCAAACAACAAATAAAGAGTTTCCATAATCTGAGCACCATTCTGGATAGAAGTGCAAAAGAGTATTGTCGACAGATAGAGGAGAGCAATGAATTTGGCTACAGTAGGAGTGGGAAGTACAGAGATGAGGGCAGCAGATTCAGAGAAGGCTTTATGAAGAAAGTTGTCAAATCCAGTTGTAACTTTTCAGTCAACATCTTAATGGATTTTTTTTTTATTTTTTTTGCACGCACCACTCTTAACAGTGAACTACTTGTGAAACTTTTAATAAGCTTGGCTTCTAATCAGCGAATTTATTCTAGTTCTTTGTTCTTCTGTTTCTGCCTGCCTTTTAAATATCGGTCTATGCTAGGATTTCTTCCTTGGCCAACTGATCTTCCTGCCAACATTTTCCTTATGTGAATATGCCTGCTTATTTTTATACACTAATGATTCCCAAAGAAACAACACTAAATTTCTTGACTCCTAATAGTTCAGTTACTCTTGGCTTTTCCTCATGTCATTCCAACTAGACGTACTTAAAATAGAAATCATTATATTCCATGCCCATTCTCTTTTCTCAAACCACTCTGTACTCCTGACCACCTCTTTACTCAAGCCAGGAATTAAAAGGACTCCCAGACATTACCGTCTATCTCATTCCTCATAATCAATCTATTATGAAGTTTTGCCAATTTCCCCCCACACCCTCGGTTATACTTGAGTGGTTTTCAGTTCTACTGTTACTGCTCCAAATCACACTCTCTAGATCTCTCTTTTGGATGAAGATTTTTAAAAAACGTATTAAATGTTTTTAATGTGTCAAGCACTAGTGTAACACTTTATCTGTACCATTCCAAATCTCATATAATCCTTACAACCTCCCTGTGAGATAGGATCTGTTATTGTCTGAATTTTATCATGAGTGACAGAGCCAGGGCAGTGACCTAGGTTGGTCTGATTCAAGAGCCCCACTGGGAACCTCTACATAATATTGCCCACCCTTGGCAAAGGCCTCCTAATTGGTCTCTTGGCTCCTGACTGTACTTTTTGTTTCCATTTTCTTTTCCTTTATTAAATATGTCAAAATAATCTTTCTAAAATGCAAATTAAATTATGTCTCTTCTGTCCCTCAGTAACCCCCAGTCCAAGCTCCTTAGAAGAGCTCATAAAACTCTTCATAGACTTGCTCCTTCCTGGCCCTCTCATCTCCTCTTTCCCATATTCCTGACACTACCGCAAAACCTATTATTAAATAGAGGTATTTGTTATTTCCTCCAGGAAGCTTCTTTTTCACATTTAGTCTCTCCTCTAAGAACACTTTTCTTTAAAACATCCCTTTCTAGATTCCACGAGATTGTCCTCTCTTCCAGGGAAAGGGGGAATATTGTTTGTTTCATCTAAAACAGGTGTCTTTCATTTTCCCTTCTTCTGAGAGATCCCAGTTCAATTTCTTATCACTTTAGTCTTATTTTTAAAATAGCCTGAAATCTAACAGCCCTGCCTCTGATTTTCCCTCCTTCACACTCAGCAGTGGTTATCAAATGTAGCGGACCACAGGGATCACCTGAGAAGCTTGTTAAGCTGCAGATTCCTGGGTCCCAACCTCAGAGATTCTGATGCAATAAGTCTGTGGTTGGCCAGGCACGGTGGCTCATGCCTGTAATCCTAGCCCTCTGGGAGGCCAAGGTAGGAGGATCGCTGGAGGTCAGGAGTTCGAGACCAGCCTGAGCAAAGGTGAGACCCCTGTCTTTACTAAAAGTAGAAAAAAATAGCTGGGCATGGTGACATATGCCTGTAGTCCCACCTACTTGGGAGGCTGAGGCAGGAGGATTGCTTGAGCTCAGGAGTTTGAGGTTGCTGTGAACTAGGCTGATGCCACCGCACTCTAGCCTGGGCAATAGAGGGAGACTCTGTCTCAAAACAAAACAAAACAAAAAGTCTGTGGTGGAAAGAAGGAATAACTTCTTACTAAGCATTCCAGGTACTTCAACAGCAAGAGGTCCAGGTTCCACAGATGGAGATACTCTGTTTTGTGCTATCAGTAAAACGTCTCCCCAAAACTCTGATATGATCAATTTATATGAGGAAATGCTTTTGTTGTCTCTCTTTAGTCTAGAATATATTATTGTATCATTGACAGGTGACATAAAGGTCTCTGCACAGTTTTCTAACTGCTGTTTGAAGAACATTTCCCTGCACTCTGTCCCTACTCCTCATCTCCTTGTATCCTGGCCGTTTTTCTTCCACAAATACTTTAAAATATCCTATGCTGTCTATATGCCAGATGCCTTTTTTTTTTTTGCCTCAGTTGGACACTATTCTGGTTTTGTTTATGTTCCATCTGCCTGCCTGCCTGCGGTGCCTTCTGAACCATTCTCTAATTAGTGAACTCCTAGTCATCCTTCAAGCTGCAACTCAACTACCACTTTCTTGACATGGCCTTTTCCGAATCTGCTGCCTTTGCCTCTATCCTTCCCACTCCTACTATGGCCAAATTCATTGCTCTCTCGTGTTTGTTGGCATCACTTTTTTTCACGTCTATCCAGAGTGCTGCTGAGATTATGGAAACTCTACTGAGTGCTAGAGAGCCGACAATTTGAGATTTGATATCATTTACATCATGTTCCCAGGCCAGGTACTGCTTTGTGTACTCATTTTGACACTATTGTAGTTTCCTTCAAACATGAATGCTTCTTTTCACAGTGACAAGTAGCTTTCAAGTGTGAAAAGAGAAATAGCATGAGAGGGGCCAATGTGCATGCCAACACATTGACATGTTCTTCCAAAATGCTTTCAAATTGTCAATCTAAATAAGATTTTGATTTCTTTCAAGTTTCAGAAAATTTGTATCTAACCCTAGAACAATGTAAGTGTTGTGTTGGAACTTTAAAAAGTGCCACCAAGTTACCGCTATCTAAGTCTTCTGTTCAGTGTCTGTCATTATTTTCAATTCTGACAGACTTGGCACTTGAGGGTTCTACAGCTTCTGGTGACATAATGTGAGAAGAAGCTAGAAATACAAAGTAACAAGACACACACAGAAAAGTGAACAGGGTCACTCTCTTCCCCCCGCTGCTTCTGTCCACGTCCCCATCACAGCCTACAAACTATTATCAGGAACCACTAATTTAAATTCAGGTGAAAATTGTGTTCTCTCATAGTGCTTGTGAAGAGACTATCTTATTATCCAGATCTTTTCAAACTTTTATTTAGATTCCACTACCTAGAGCTCTAAAGTGGATCACTGATTTTAAGGTTGCCAATATACCTTTACTTTCTGAAGTTGTTCAAGGATTATAACAATCTCGTTTTCTTTTTAGAATAGGAAGAGATAGATGTGTGGGAGTATATATGAGTAATCATTTTCTGCGAGATAGTTTAAATATAAGTGAGAACATTTCCTAAAATATAAACTAAATAATTATTTGGCTGAAATAGATTGCAATTACATTGGAAATAAGGGAGACCATTTGTAACTATGGTGTAAAGTAAGTGAGAAAGTATAGGGACATTATTATTTAGCTATTGGATTTGGAATGTTAAAGAAGAACAGGATCCAAATATTATCAGGTTATCAGTGCCTGAAAGTTGAAAGGGGGGCTGTGAATTCTGCATTGTTTCTCTCACAGAACCCGGAGATCCTAACAGGAAATGGTGAGGGAGGGGGCAAGTATTGTCAAGAAATTTAGGTTGATTTGTATTACTCTTACAGCACAGAATAGGGATAAGTGTTGACCTACTGCTAAGGCTGGGCTTGTTCACTTCCATAGGATACTGAAGCTTACTTCCCAGTGTGGAATTCTAAAGTGCACCATATGTGCACTAAATCACTGTGCCAAATCTATTTCAATGCCCTGATACCATTTGGTGTGGAACTGCAGAGACTTTCTGATTTGGGGTGTGTATCAGTGTCTCTCTGAACCACAAAGGACTCATAGAGTTATGAGCATGCTGAACATAGTAAAAGAATAACCCATTTTTTAAAAAATTATGCAATCATCATTGATTTTTTTTTTGATGAAAAGCTGCTATTACTTGAATAACACACATTTCTCTGGGATTCCAGTTTCTTTTCCACAACATTGCCATATGATACTCCTATCCATGTTCTAGTTTCTTCGGTGAATTAAGCAACAGAGCATGTATAAGAAACACTAAAATAGCTGCTTTTCATTGAAAATAAAGACAGGGTGCTTTTCTTGCACCCCCCCTGCCCCATCACGACTTCTGGGTTTCCTGCTCCATTGGCGACGCCCCCCACTTCCACCCCCACCTGCTTCCTGTGCTTCAGAGTGAACCACTCGTGCCGTCCTGCTCTTCTTTAGCGCCCGCTGCAGACGGCACTAGGACCCGGGGAAGTCCCTGAGCGAGGTTCGCGCGAAGGCAGCCAGACTCCTCCTTATCTCCAGTGTCAAACTTGACATCAGCCTGCGAGCGGAGCATGGTAACTTCTCCAGCAATCAGAGCGCTCCCCCTCACATCAGTGGCATGCTTCATGGAGATATGCTCCTCTCACTGCCCTCTGCACCAGCAACATGGATTGTCACCTCTCCATCCTCCTCCTTCTCAGCTGCTCTGTTCTCAACTGCTTCGGGGAACTGATTCTCCAGCCTTCCAATGAAGGTAAGCCAGGTACAGCGACGCGCTCAGCCCTGCCCCGCGGGGCTGACGCTCTTCAAAGCACGTTCTCACCGAAGCCTTTCCACGTCCTTAAGGTGCCTCCGAATAAAGCAGTTTGTTCTGAGAGTGAACGAAAGATGTGCTTTTATTTTCAACTGTCCTCTAAAACACTTTGGGAGATCATTTTGGATGCCTAAACCTTCAAAATGTGTTTTTAATCTGATACCAATTTCAGCAATTACCTTGTTTGCCAATTCGAAGCAGAAAGAAAGAAAGAAAATACTCCAGTTTTGCAACCCAGTATGTTAATTGCCAAATCGCCAAGGCAGTATTTTATTTTCTAATTATGACCATGTGGTACTCTGAGAAGTTTAAAAGAAAATTCAACCCTGCTCTCTCTCTAGTTTCTTTAGTAGGTTTAAAGGTAATGACAGGTTGTTCCTACTTGGGATTATGGCATTTATGAATGGACTAAAGGGAAAATAGAGTTTCACGAAGCAGAGGTGCGTGTGTGTTTATGTTGCAACTGCTGTATTGAAGTGATGTGTATCCCGCCAGGCAATGGTTCGCTCTATGGTACAGGTTCTAATGAGCAGCATATGCCACATTAACATGAGTAATATTTGCAGGAATTACAATAAACTTAGGTGGGATTCTCTTTGTTTAAGGGCTTATATACAAATAAGAGAATGTATTTAATGAATAGTGAATAGCTCCTGGGAAGATATAGTAAATAACTGACTAGTAAATTAAGAAAGAATGTTCATATGCTGCAAATGGCATTTCCTTGATGTTGGATTATTTATTTTCCTTGCAGTGGGCATTCATTCCATTTCAATGGATTAAAGTGAAAACCTAATATTAAGGACAGTGATGTTTCCTATAAGATTATGTACTTAATAGATACATTTTCTTTTCCCTGTATATCTTTTGTGATCTATTTCTAATGATTTGTGAATGCAATCACTAACTCTTAAGAAAAACTTCTCTAAATAATTGATTGCTTTAAAGCAACATTTACAACTTAAATTTCTTCTTAATGATTTAAACTTATAACAACAACATTTAGCAAATAATATTTATTTTGCAAATTAGCAATACTAACCAATTGATGTGCAAATGCCACATTGGAGATATCACTCATTAAAAATATATTGTAAAGACAATACTGTTTTATATTATATGATATACATTATTTTAAAAAGACAAGTCAAATCAAAATATTTAGAAATTTTTTTATTACATGTAAAAACTGCCTCTTACCTTTGGTGACCTACTTTCACTGCTAATAGAGCAGTTTAATTTCTTTCTTGCCTTAGTGAGTGCCTTTATCAATTTGGCAGATTTCATTAAATTTTCCTGTGTCTTTCTTTAATTGGGAAACTGAAAATTCTAAAATATAAGGATGAAGAGAATCATCTTACCCACAAATGATTTTTTTACAAACCAAATTAAAAAATGTCTGTTTGAAAGTAAGAGTCAATCATTCTTCATGAATGAAGGGCAAGAGTAGTCATTTGTATAATGAGTAACACACCAAAAAGCAAAAATTAGTATTTTTTAAAATCTTGTTTTGTGAAGATATTATATTAACAATAACTATAAAACAGTATTATAATTCCCACATTGCTATGAACAATTATATTTTTCCAGGTGGAATATTTATTAACTATTTAGATAATGGATATTACTGAATTAATAATGCACAGGAATACAGCTGAGAGTAATTATTTTTGTGGCAAACATAACCTTTAAGAAAATTGCAAGAGAAAAAATGACCCTTTACTTTAAACTTATTGACACCTATGTAAAAATTTATGAATATTAATTTAATGAAACAGGGATAATATTATGGAAATTGCTTTTAAGCCTCACATTGTGTATGTTTGGCTATATATATGTACATAATTATGCAGTCAGGTACTTACTAACCATATGTATATAGGAAGGTAAATATATTCATAAAACTAACATGATTGCATTTAATTTGCTTGGATAAAACTTTATCTATCCATCCTTCAGTCATGAGATTATTCTTTCCAGATCGTGTCTTATGGGTAATGTCTCCTAAACCTTCTACAGTTATGAAGGGAAGTTTTAAAACAAATTTAAGATGAATGATTTAACTAAGGTAATATTGAAGTGAGGTTTTAAATATTAATCAAATAGCTTGGCTTTTAGTAGTTGAGTTGAATAACATGAAAAACGAAAATTATGAGTATGTGCCAAGATTTTCATGTAATTGTTCTATATAATTTGAATAGAAAGTAATGCTCTGAAAATTCATATCTTGAGGGAGTAATGATGAAATGAATCATATTAAT